GGGAGGGGAAGGCCAAGAGAAAATTGCTACAAAAACCAAGTTGATTTGAATGTGGATGTCTGAGCCTCATCCCAATTCAGAAGCCATCCACTGACAACCTCACAGCCCGCTTCTGTATCAGTGACTGAACGAGAAGTTTGGAGGAATACAATGGCCACAGCTGGAGAGTATGGTATAGCTGATGAAAGACAGGAATAAACTTGTCAGTGCTGAAATCCTGAGGTCTGACAAGGTGAACTCCAAGCTGTGCCACCCTCTGAGTATATAGAAGGCTTGGATTAGTTCAAGTTTGTTACTTAGTTCAGAGTTTTCCAACATAATTTTCATTTTTTAGCTCATTCTCCCACTGAATGTACAAAAGGATTATACAAACTAGACTTTCTTTCTTTGCTTTTATCCAAAATTTAAATAGCCCATGTATTGTATACTTTTAAGATTTTAAAGAAATATGGCTTAGCATCTAGCATCTCTCTATCTTTCTATCTCTCTCCCTCTCTTTCTACACACACACACACACACACACACACACACACACACACACTGGAGTGAGGTTTTATGTAACAGTCTTTTTTTTTTAACATCTATTGGCTTAATCCTTCAAAAGGTGCTTGGGTCATTTATTAAGGACTCAAACATAGCATATATTTACTGGGCACTTACTATGTGCCAGGCATGAAGCTAATAACCTTGCTTGAGTTATCTTATTTCATAAGGTTGGTATCACACTATAATTACCCTTTTTAATAAACAAGGACTCTTAAATACTAGAGAATTTAAATAATTTCCTCATGGGGTAGTATTTGATTTTGGGTCTTCTGAAATTCAATATCCATACTACTTGTTAAGATATATTCTTTAATTTTACTTAAATAACCACTCAATATGAGTCAGGGAGTGGAAAAACTAAGAAATACTAATATAGAATTGGAAAAGTCAGGAGGTTACCAAATAATGTGTTTATTTTTATATGTGTGCATGCTTTGAGTGTAATTTAAACTGATTCTAAAAGTGTTTGCCAAAAGGACATCTGTTTTGAATGATGACAGCTTTGTCGTAAGCACAGGTGACTTCCCACATAGGAGGTTAGCAAGAGCCAGCATTTCTCTGTTGTGCTTTCCTTTGCTTGCATGTTTCTTGAGACCCTGATGCCCTCTTGCTTTGATGAATAACTCATTGTTTATATTTGCTGTCTTCCACTTACCTCCAAGGTCAGAGGCTGGATCTTCCTCATCTCCATACCTGCTTGCCCACCATAGCACCTGACCTGGTAGAGCAGCACACACAGTAGCAAAGGCCCTGGACTGCGCATGACCATATGCACATTTAATAACATTTCTAAGCCTTGGTTTCTTTATTGGAAAAATGGGTATAATAACACTAACATACTTTATAGGAGTTTTGTTAAGGCTAAATGAATATATCACGTACCTGTAATAAATAAATATAATATATATTTATTATTATATATATTAATTATTATAAAATAAAAAATATATAATGACTATTATCTATAACAGAGTCTATTCACAAAGAGTGGCTAAAGTTATCACTCATAAGACGATCATTTTGATAGTAGTCATAATAGCCTGTTCAGACGTAAGAAGAACAAATAAAGGGAATTTTTAAAACGTTCAGTTGTCCAAAGAATCAGGGTTAAATTAAACACAGCAAAGAATAAAACAGGCTCTAGCACATTATGCATTCTTGTCCTATCTTTTCCTTTAGATAAAGGAAGATAAAATGCATGCCTCAATTATTTGTATACAAGAACACATGACTTAGCAATCAATGGAGCCCAGTGACTATATAGCTCTAATGTCTATCTCTACAAACATCCAGACTAGTGGCAAGTGACTTTTTCAGATTCAATCAGCAGATCTGCAGTAGAGCAGAAATTTTCCTCCTTGGGTTCTACCTTAGCTCTTGCTACTAATAATACCGCAACTGTGGTGGCCATGTTACATCCATTATCTCAATAGCTCCAAAGACAACCCATAAGATCAATAAAACTTTTATTATTTCCCCTTATTCATCTTCATATCCTGAACTATCCAACTCAGTGGCTTATTGGTAGTGACTTTTTGAGAGTTATTGACTATTTGTTGAATAAATGGAAGTTAACCGTAAAGTAAGCTTTGTGTTTAAGTGACAGACAACAATTAATCAAGCAATCAGTCAACCAATGCTCATGAGAGTCTTACCCTGGAAAGGAAAGTTATTACTGGATAAATCCTGTATTTTTGCAGCACTTTCAAACCTTGTATTAAAATTAAATATGACCACAGTGTTCTGATTAAACTTATATGTGGTATTTAAAGTAGTTCAGTTCATAGAAACACAAAGTGGGATGGCCATTGGGGGCTGAGGGAAAGGAGACTTGCTGTTCAAAGGGGTATAGAGTTTCAATTTTGCAAGATTAAAAAAGTTCTGGAGAGCTATTTCACAGCAGTATGAATACACTTAACACTACAGAACTGTACACTTAAAATGCTTAAGATGGCAAATGTTATAAAATGTGTTTTTCAACCCCAGTAAAGAAAAAATAACTATAACCTTTTCAAAAACTTAGAGCACACAGTTAAATATAGAAGTTTATGAATACATTGATCCTCTACCATTGTTTCTTTCTCCTAAACTCATAGATTTCATCCAGAGGCAATAGCTGTTAATGCTTTCTGCGTTTCCTCTCAGAGAGTCTAAAACATATACGTGTGTGTATAAATATCTATATCTATATGCATTCATTTCTTATCTTTTTACACTGAAGATGTATCAGGACTCAATCAGAGGAGAACCAGTGTGAGACACACATACACTTTTACGCACACATACACTAATACATGCATATGCACAGATATGCATATACAGAGATTTATTCGGCAAAACTAGTTTATGCAATTATGGGGGCTCACTAAACAAGTCAGTAGTCTGTAGGACAGGTAGGAAGGGAAGATCGCATGCGAACTGGAATTGCACAAACACAAGATGAAACTCCTTGTGCACAAACAGTGGTCAGGAAGGAACATCAAGAAAGAATAACTATAGACCCAGCCGCTTGAAGTATCTGCCTTGGGAAATTTCTGAGACTCTTTGCAAATGCCTTCCAGGTGACTGAATCAGGGCCACCTGGGATAATCTTCCTGTTACTTAACTAAAAGTCAACTGCTTAGGGACTTAAATCACACCTGTGAAATCACTTCACAGTAATATCTACATTATTGTTTTATTGAATAATTGGAGGAAAGTGTGAGTATGCTACTAAAAGTGGCCACAGCTTTCTTTATATTTCCCAACTCTCCTGAGAGGATATCCCTTACGGATCTCCCTAATAAGAAATGTATTATGAAATACATCCTGGGACCATGGCTCAGCCTAGCCAAGTTGCTTCATCAAAAAGCATCCCAGGGGTGCCGTGCTCCACATGATGCTAGCACTTCATCTTGTGTCAGGAAGATTTATCATACTATTAAATAAAAAGCTCTTTTTAGCAGCCACAAGATATTTAAGGGCATATGTGTAACAACTTCTTTTACTGATGGAGATTTATGTTATTTCCAGTTATTTTCTCACTTCCCACAATGCCTCAATATTGACCATACATATAAATGTATCTTTCTTAGATGTACCAACATATTTGTAAACAACATTATTAAAAGTGGGAATGTTAAGTCAAATCATATATGTGTTTAACAATTTTGCCAAATATTGCTAAATTTCTCTTTAGAGAGGATGCAAGAGCTTACTCTTCCACCAAGTCTTAGGCATTCCTTATGCTCAAGATGGCCTTTCCTCTTCTTTGCTTGGGTTTCACCAATCTCAGTACTGTGTATTCCTCCACAGGCAGATATAATATCTCCAAAGTGTGGAGCTTCCCATGAATCTACATTTTCACCACCTTGAATTTAATCCCTTATACCTGAGTTATTAAAGTAAATATTGATTCCAGTATCATGCATTACAAATAGGGTATGCTAGCCAATATATGGTAAACTTCTGGAGAGTCACAGGAATTTGAAGTGGGAGATACCAAACAGAATAAAGCATACCCTCTCTCACATACCGTTCAGTTTTCCTAAAAACTATTTTTGCAAACTTAGGTATCCACTTTCAGAATGTGTAAAGCCACCTGTGCCCTATTTGATAGACCCTTTGAAACTTTCTAAGGTGATTTTATTTGGGAGAGTATTCTAATTAGAGATATAATTGCACAGCTAATTATGAATAACACTCAAATGGTAGAGGTAAGTGTTCAAAAAGGTTTGACCTTAGAAAGTAGAGAGTGCAACAGACACATGACGAGAAGATATGTACCTGTGCCTTTCCCTTTTATTCTAAAATACGTAGATCTATTCTTAATTTAACAATTTTACCTTTTCAGTATGAACTCAAGGCTCAACTAATGATATGACCTCTGTTCAGTGAGATACAGGAAAGGTTGTTAAAGACTTAAAAATGTCTGTGCACTTTCAGGAGAGAGAGAGGATGTACCGGCTCAGATGTTTTGAGTTCAGAGATCTGCAGCCGTTTGAAAACCCAGCGAACTGAATGGGGATAAAATTGTCCACATCAAACAAAAGCTGTCCGTAGCTTTTGTGCTTGGTCTTATCCTTTAGAGCATCAAAGAAATCCTTTTCCTCCATGGACAAAATAACCTCACATAAATCAATAAAGGAAGAGGCAGTAAGAACAGAGTTTGCCAGATTCAAGTAAGCAGAAGGAGTTAGGGCTGGAGAAGGTCTGATGGGAGGAATGTAGGGAGAGAAAAAGAGAGAAAATACTGTTGCTATTCAAGGGACAGAGTTGGGCCATGTAAAGCATGGGTGAGAACATCAATTAATGGAAGAGAGAGAAAGTGAAGAGAGAGAAAACAAAAAGAAGATTGACGGGATTGAGAAAATGAAGTGGAAGGAGAGACAGAAAAAAAAGTCATCCACGAGGCTGTTTGCTACTCCTTTTATTTAGTTAAATATTAGAGGTGGGGGTCTCACTATGTTGCCCAGGGTCGAGTACTGTGGCTATTCTCAGGTACGATCATAGCACACTATGGCCTCGAACTCCTGGGCTCAAGCAGTCCTCCCATTTCAGTCTCCCGAGGAGCTGGGACTACAGGCTATTGATACATTTTTACTGAATGCCTATTACAGGTTCAGGGCTCTTAGACTGAGCACCTTCTTGAGGGTTATGATCCAGTCTAGTCCTGTCCCCTAGTACCTAATATGCTCTGCACCATCCCAGGCCCTGGTGACATCGTGTTGAACAAGACGTGGCCCTCGTTCCAAAGGGAGAAAACAGAAGGAAGGTTGGTAGGCAATTATAAGCCAGTGCGATACAACCTATGAGAGTGGGCACTCAGGGGGTTATAAAAACACACACAATAGGGGCAGTTAACTTCCTCCAGGAGAAATTAGAGTTGGGATAGAGACCAAGGAAATGAAAAGACAGCAAAGCAAGTACAGACTAACATTTCCTCATGGTTTGTGTAGAAAAGGAAAATGATGATGATGACTATAACAGCTAATGTCAATTTTTAAGGCACTACCTTTACTGTTCTCTCTCCTTATCTAGGTCCTCACAGATGTCATCCCATATTAACACAGCAGTGTTGAGTAATATCAATTATTGACACATTTTGAATGTGAGTAAATTCCACATTTGAGTTAAGTAGTTTTCTCAAATTTACAGAATGTGAACCCATCCATAGTCTTCTTGCATCTAAGACTGTGGTCCTTCCGTTACACTACGTTGCTAAGAGGGGAAGGGAAGCAAGAGTGATAGAAGATGAGAGGAAGTGTGCAAGAGAAGAGAGGAAAGAGGAAGAAACATAATAAAGAATGAAGTTGGTCCTTAGAAGAAGGAAAGCCCCAGGTGAGGAATGGAGGCAGTAAGGTAGTGAGCAGAGTAAGCAAGGATGATAAGGTCATGCACATGTAAGAAAGCCGCATGTGGATAAAAAGGTCTGAGTGTATACTAGGGAAGGAATGGATACAATAGATGGAAAGAGACCATGAGAAAGGGAAAGAAAAGCACCACAACTGAGAGATCCCAGGGTCAAATGGTGACCATGAAGAGCCTCAATTGATTTTACAAAACTGGCCCCCTTAGGTGCTTAGTTTGGATTCCTCTGACTCTGGCCTCTCCACAAAAGCCAATGTTGCCTCTGACCCTTGAAGTCCCCAAGGCAGAGAGGTAATATAAGGTCTGAGATGTGAGCTGAGACATGTCACTGTTGGTCTATCTAGCCAACATCAGCACTGTGAACACAAAGCTCTGCCTTTCCTGCAATAGAACAATGGAAGGGGATAGTATAACAGTAAGAAGAGAGGAAAGAAGAAAATCACGTAGGTCAGAAGAAGAGCCACTGGGTCCAGACAGTAGAATTACAGAGAATTTTCAATACCAATATTTTATTTTACAGATGGGAAAACTAAAGCCCAGGGAGAACAGAAGTCCTGATATAGATCTCTCAGCCAGTTGAGGCCGAAGCCAATTTGCTGAGACTTACTTCTCTCCAGTGTGTTCTCTGTCACCCCATCTGTGAGAGGAAGGGGAAGAAGAGACCCAGAGAATGCAGGCACTTGGGTAATTAAAGAATGTTAAGGGCCAGCTTGCTTTCCTGCAGTTCCCCAGGGCAGGGGTGTTTGCCTACAGGTAGATCTCATTCAGCAAGCTCAGGTTGCATGAGATTGCGGGTTTAAGCAGGTGCTGCTATTTCTGTTTTGTTCCGTGTCTATTTTCAAGCACAGGATGCTGTGGGAAGGACTTGTGAAATAGTAGCTTTGCTGTTCTTTCATTTTTTTTTTCTTCTCCCATTCAGTCTCCCCTTTTGTAAACCACAACTCCAACTCTGGCTTATTCCTGTAGAAAAGGGTGCTTCAACTCTCCACAGGCTGATCTGGGATGAGGTGCTCCTGTCTTGAATGAGTCGCTCTGGCTTATGTAGGAAAAGGTAAGGAGGGAGCCTCATATTAGCTCTCTGTGATGGCACCCTGGAGTTCACTCAAACTAACATCAGTAAGCTTCCTGGCAACTGGGGCTCAAAAGATATCTGCTGAGTCAAAGAATGGGTGAATGAATTAATAAATGACTAATATCTGAAGTACTCCTCTTTAGTTTATAAGTGGGAACACTTAAGGCCAATAAGTGAAAAGATCTTCCAAATGTTTTGCAAGTGAATGACAGTGCCAAAATCAGAAGCAGGTCTTCTGAAGAAGCACAGTGAGCAGGGATGGGGTCATGACACAGCTATGCCGTAATAAACCATGAAGGCAATGCTTGATCTAAATCCTTCAGGCTCCGTCTATGCTAGTGAGTTCAGAAGCAAATCAAGAGGAAAATCTATGCATGAGAAGGCCCCAGAGGCAGAAAGTACATGAGAGCATGAACTCCTTGGATCCACCATAAGAGGTCCATGCTCACAAGGTGAGGCAGGGTCAGGTATGTAGAAGGAGTTGTAGGTTGCACCAAGCAAAAAAGCTCCATGTACGCTGCAAGAGAGTCAACCCTATGAAATTGCCAAGCCGAATTTCAAAAAGAGCCAAGAATAGGAAAGGATATCAAGGACACGAAAAGTGAAGCAGGATAATGAAAGGGAGAGAAAAAGGAGAGAATTTGTGGGTTCTTCCAGAATCAATGAATCTCACACCAAGAAATGGCCAATGGGACCAGCAGCATGTGCACTAGGCAATTGTAAGAAATCATATCAAAGAAAGACATTTAGAAAGAGCAGTTGATGTCAGAAGCACTATTTGAAAAGGAGTATTCCTTTAAAAGGGTGCAAAGGAAAGGGTGGTCTAGTGGGTTGACCTGTTTCTCTGGCCCAATGAGAACAGAGAACAGACAGGTGCATCTTCCCCTGAATTATCTCTGAGCTTGAGTAAAGGCTCACGGTAGAACTGGGAACGGATGGAATTGCCTCTCTAGCAAGAGGGATCTTCTCGAAAATGAATCTCAATGAAAAACGACAACAGGTAATTCCAGAAGAGCTTTTGTTTGTTTCCCTAAAGTAACTGTAGAAGAATTAAATCCATACTTGAGAGGGCAGCAGATCACTACTTTATAGGAGGTATGATCTGGCGTGGTACAAAGTGCGTTAGATTAATACGCTCTGCTCTTAGCTCAGTCAGTGGATTTGAGAGAAATCACTTTCTGCCTTGAAGCCTGTTTCCCTATCTATAAACTACTAGTGCTTTATAGGAATTTTGAAGGCATAACCTACTTTATTTTGTCTCTATTTCTCCTTCGTAAATATTTACAACACCTGTCTTTCCTTCTTACTGGAAATCACTGGGGGTAGAAAAATCACTTCTCATTTAATTACTTTTACCTGGGTAACAAGAGAGAGGCTCTTCAGAAAGAACCAGGAGCTCTGGGAGGAAACCAGTTTAGAAATATGTTGATTGTTGCTTAATAATTAGTCAGACTCTGAAGTCCTTAAAACAGAAACAAGATGATATTGATTGAGATGATTCTGGATGCTTTTACGTGTTCGTTCCTGGCAAGGCTCCTTCCTCGTATGCATAGGCAAAACTGCTTCCTTAACCAAGGTCAGGTTAAATGGACTGAACGTGGACAGCTCTAAATTTGGCTGCAAGCCACTCAGAGCTTAGTAACCATTGCATTTCGTCCCGTGACCTTTGTGACTCCGGTTGGTTTCACATTTCTTTATGAGCACTCTTTCTGCAAATGCCTTTTCTCACAAAGAGCATTTCTAAAGGTTGAATATAGTGATTAGTGGCACATAAGCACTTAATCTTCAGTCTCTCCCTGTCTGTGGCTCCCCTTCCTGATTCTAGTCCTCAAGTTTTAGCCCGTATCAAGGAAATGTTTTCATCTGTCTCGCTCCTATTTTCTTTTCTGTCTTATAAATCCTTAAAGAAATGTAGTGTGAGTGAATTTAGTAAGAGTCTGGATGGATGGCTCCAGAGAATGAATTCTCTTCATCTGAAGAACAGTCTCTATACACAGAGAAGCAAATAACATCTTCCAATTCTGTCAACGTGATTATTAAGCATGTATAGAGCTTTTCCGTCTCTCACTATAACAGCTACAAGCAGTTTAATTAGTTGGTTTTCACCCCAGAGTTGTAAAGATAGATGATTCAATTTATCCACTCTTAGATTAAATGCTCATTTGAACCCAAGCACTCTGACAGAGTACCTAGAGCTCTCGGCTTGGTGTCAAATGCCCTGGGTTAACCTTTGAGGCCTGCAGTTTTAAAAAGTGACACACCTACTACAAATCAGTTCATGATTCAGGGTAAAAAAAAAAAAAAAAAATGCACATTGTGATACCATCAGAGCATGCATTCTCAATGACAATGAGACAATCTGCTTCCCCAAGGGGGTGAAGATTGGTTCTTACAAGAAGAAAAAAAAAAATTTACTCTTTTTAGATACAAAGCATGGACTTGCATAATGCATAGAAACAGACATTCAGCATATCTGTGATATTAAAATTTCATGGAAAGGGGGGCAATTAGGGAAAAAAATGTCTAAAATTTCTCCTCAGGAGGTATAATAATGAAAAAAGTTGAGAAACCATGAAACAGAATAGGGATGGAATATCCTTTGAGCACCTACTGTGCTACAGCCCTGATGATTCCATTAAGCCTCACAACAACGCTGTAAGTGAGCTGTGGATAAGTGTCTTCATTTAATACGATATTCAGGATAGGAGGCAACTTAGACAATATGTGCCAAATACCTTTTGGCAATAAAGTTCCATACAAATATAAGGTGTTATTACAGGTATTAGTGATTTCCTAATAGTGTATATAGCTGTTAGCAGTAGTTGGGAAATAAACTACCCTACAGCTAATAACTTAAAACAATAACCATTTGTTTAGCTCACCATTCTGTGGGTCCACAAATTAAGCTGGGTTCAGCTGAGCAGTTCTGGGATTGGCTGAGCTCCCTCACAGACCTGCAGTAAACCACTGGTCATTCAGGTTGGCTGGCTGTTGGCTGTGGCAATGGAGGTACCTGGGACTAGTACATATCATGGCCCAGAAGGTCAGCCCAGTTTGTTTTCCCAGGGTAGCAGCAGGGTTCCAGAAAACCAGCTGAAGTG